GATGAAAATGTCAGGGTGAGAGAGTCCGGGGAGGCATAAAGGAGGGAATATCCTCACCCAGGATTAGAAACCACGGATCAAAACCAAGATTTAGGAAGAAAACAGACATGGTAGACATCAGGGTCAGCAGCAACACTCTGAATCTTTGCCCCACGCTGGGCCCACAACTGAGGCTTCTCCCATTCCCATGTACCATTAAGCAGGCTAGTAGTACGCCTGCAGGAGCCGATTACTGGCATGCTGCTAAGTGTGAATGGGCCAATTCATGTAGTAAGTACATTTATATATGACAGCGTTCCCAAAGAATGTGTACGCAGCCAAGGATTTATCAATCAAAGGCGTGACAGGCTTAATGATGTCCTATGTTTGTAGAGTTGGCTTGTTCTTGCTCTTGTTTTAGTATGCATTTTGTATTCTCATTTTGCATTTTTATGTTGTTGACTGCTGTGATCTCCGCATGAAGGGTGGTATACAAATTTAATAACTAATAAAAAACAGCAACATGGAATTCACCCTTCGCACAGCTGCTGCACACTGGGCTGACATCTTCATCTAGCTATCCACCATGAGCCCAAGATCTCATTTGTGGTCATTCATTGCCTGTTCAGACCCTTTTAGCATATTTGTGAAATTGGGATTTACCCTAATGTGAAACACTTTACACTTACATTAAATTGCATTTGCCATTTTGATGCCCATTCACCCAGTTTAGATTTTTCAAGCTTTTCACAATTCCCTTTAAAAATATATAAATGAAAACGCCCCTAAACAATTTAGTATTGTCACTTGGCTACCTCACTGCTTCCCCCAATAACCAGTCTATAATTTCAAGATCCCCTTTTAAGAACTGTTACATTGGCCATTCTCCAGTCCTCCAATATGTAGCTATTTTAGATGAGCAATTTCACATTCGAGTTCTTGAAGAATGGTCAGGTGGATGCCATCTGCATCTGGCAATTTGTCAGTTTTTCATTTAGCAGTAAGGCCTGGAACTTGGTTGCCTGTCATCGCTTTTTGCCTCACTTCCTCAGATTCCCTTCTTGAGACAGTTCGGGCACAAGGAGTGCTTTATATTTTTCTGTGAGGATCGGTGCAAATAATTCATTCACCTTCTCTGCTATTTCCTTTCCCTCCATTAGCCCACCTTTGACTCCCTTGTTGTTCAAAGGTCTATATAACCTTCCTAAGCTGAGGGCCTGTAACTAATGTATTTAAAGAATTGTTCGCTGTTGGGCTTTTGTTTTAGGAATTTGGTCCTGATAGTATTTTTATTATTATTTTTTGCACACTGTTTTGTATTCTTCTTTTACTAAAGTTTGTGCTTTTTTTTATCCTCATTTGGACAATAATTCCATTTTCTAAAGGGAGCCTTCTTATCATTCAGATTTTCTTGACTCCACTCAGGAAACCATGCTGACATCATCTTGCCCCTGGGAGCAACTTTCCCGAAATACAATATACATTCTAGCTACACTTCTACTATTGTGGTTTTGAGGAACCCCCAAGAATTCTGGAGAGATTTGACTCTCTTGACTTTCCCTTCCAATTGCCTTTTTGCCAATCTCCTCCAGTTCCCTGTTCTGAAATAAAAACTGAATGTGATAGATTTTCTTGGCCATCGCCCACTTGCATTTGAATTTGATAGCACTATGGTCAGTTCCCAATCAGTTCAACAGCAGGTACATCGTATCCCAAGCCCCACTCCCAGGAGATACTTGTGGTGGCCCCTCTGGTCACATCCATGAATAACTGTTATAGAGCAGCTACCAAGATCAGGCTTCCTCAACCTCGGCCCTCCAGATATTTTTGGCCTACAACTCCCATGATCCCTAGCTAGCAGGACCAGTGGTCAGGGATGATGGGAATTGTAGTCTCAAAACATCTGGAGGGCCGAGGTTGAGGAAGCCTGACCTAGATCTACAAGTTGTACCCTTTCTATGTGCAGATAAATGATATGATATATATGCTATAAATGTGATAAAGGGTCTTTTTAGTTATTTTTTCCCTCTTCTTTTTTCTCTATAATTGTGTTTTGCAAGGATTATGAGTATTCTATATTTTCTTTTTCTGTATTCTTTTTCAATATATTCTTTTTGATTATCTTTTTATAAATGTGTTTGGATTCTAGTGCTTAATATGTTAGAAACCTTCAACAAAATTGTCAAAAAGGGGGGGGGGTAGTGTGTGCTCAGTACTAAATTACAGAAGAATTGAATTCATGCTCGCCTGCTTCCCCAATGCCGTCCGCTATAAACAAAACTGAATGATCCGTTGACAAGGTAGGAGTCACAGAACATGTGTGCCTAACCCACAAACATTATTTGATACGTTTGAAAAATAGGAGAAAGCTTCCTATATGCTGGATTTTCAGAATAGCCTGGGAAAGCTCCGCTATCTTGTAATCAGTTGTGAATGAAATCATGTCAGTGAATAAAACATGATAAAAAACGTTCGTGCCATTTAATTAAAAGCAAAAATAATATGTACAACTATCAATATTAAAAACTGTGGGTACGTTCTACAGACTCAGGCTGCAGACCTATCCCTGGCTACTCAAAAGTCCTTTCGGATTCAGTGGGCTTCCTCCCACTTAAGTGGGGTTAGGATTGGTCTTAACAAACATAGTCACTGTGAAAGAAGCCAATTTGTGCTGGACAGCTGACCTATATATAGCCCTACAGTCACTCTCATAGTGCTGCACCTTTCTGCCAATATAATTATGAATTAACCGTGATGTTGCTTTAATTTAAACTCCCAGACAGGAAGAAAAGTGGGCATTGCTTAGAGACTGCTATTTTTCACAGTGTCAGAGTATGTTTTAACATGTTCCATGCCCGTAACAGCCAAAAATTCCCTTTGCTTCAGCCCTCTGGCATATGTAGCTTCCCCGGGGACCAATCTGAATAAAAAGAGCTGTTACTAAAATTTTAGTGAGGTCATATGTTTGGCAAACCTAATAGCAACATATTAAACTGCTTTTTTTAGGACCTTGGCTTAGTGATTGCCTCGCAGATCCTTAACCCTTTGTCAGCTCCTCCTGGACCAGCCACCCAGAGCAATTCCCTTAAACGATCCGCTCTCAACTCTTGGAACGTTTAACCCTGGAATTTGCAACATACACCCCCTCAACCATCTATTCCACTGCTTCCTGCACCAGCCGTTTTCTGCGAGATGATCACAACAGATGTTTCATTGTCAGGAAGAAGAGCTAAATACAAGGAGTGAGAGTGTATTTATAGCTCCCCTGGATAAGAACATTCTGTTTAAAAGTTCTGCCGCAGTACATACTTGCTCTCTCTTTCCCCTACTAAACAAGGATCCCATGCACACAGGACTGCATTGCAAAAAGGTGTTTCCATACAGGGAACTCCAGAGGGAAAGATGCAAAAACCACTCCTGCAAGCAAGGCGGCTTTTTGCACATTATGCAAATGGCAAAGGAGAAAGCCTAACTCATTCGAGCCCTTTCCCCATCGTCGTTATAAACGTACAGAAGACAAAAAGCATTTGCCATGGGAAGATGCCAAGTTATTCTCACATCTGGAACTCATGCAGTCCCAAACCACCCCTGCTTCCTCCTTGACCCGCTTCCCGTAATGGGCAAGAAACCCCTGGGTAAAGTGTTTCCAAAACAACACAACAACAAAAATGGCTTTCAAAAACCAAGCAGGGAACAAATCTTCTCCCTCCCCTTTTTTATTTCAAGCCAGGAAGCAAAATAACCTGTAGTTTCTTAACAGACTTTCTGAGATGGTGGGAATACAGTCTAATGAAAGGAGGTGTGGGGTGTTTTTTTAATGGAATTGGATTTTTTAAAAAATCCTCCCACGTGGAAATGGTAAGGTCCAACTTTGAAGGTTTCAGCAAAACACAGACCGATACAGGCTTCCATGGAAAGGGGTGCGGAGAAGAGATATGGTTCTAGAATATATAAAGAGTGGGAGTGGGAGATTTTCTATCCACAAGATCAGGTGGGGGTTGGGATAAAATGAGCAAAATCAGTGCAGGTCAGTCTTTGAAACCGGCAAGACTTAAAGGTCCCAAAGCTAAGATGAAGGAGCATATAACCCTACATAGATTACCTTTATAGTAACAGTGAAACCGCTGACTGGTCCCTTCCTATTCTGCTTAGGTAACCATCAGACACCTAGGATCACATGAATGAAATTCACCATCAGGCTCCTTCCTATGCCAGCTTTGCCCCACCTTCTAGGAGGGGCAACAATAATCTGGCAGGGAGCCATGTCTTGGGACTCCTTTCACACAAATCAGGGCTTTTTGTGTCATCCTTGCACTATGCGAAAAAGCTGCACTGCAAGGTCTCCCACGCCACAGTTCCAATGTATGCAAAGGTGATGGGGGGGGAATTATCCACCAGGAATATAAGTATACTCATGGCAAAAGAAATCTATGATCATGAACATGCATGCAAAGCTGGCACGGACTACACAAATACACATGTAGAAAAATAGACAAGGCATCTGACATTACTTAGCTAATGTTCAAAAAAAATGGAAACCATTCTGGATCTGACTCTGAGTGCTTCGTGTGTTATTTTCTGCTTCAATGAACTGTCAGAGATGTAGAAAGATCCTACATAGCAGGACTGCTTTGTGCAGGTAAGATTCAAATTTTAAGAGGAAGCCTTTTAGCAGTATCTCCCAGAAGTGAGTCATATTTCTGCTTGAAATGCTTGCAGAACATTTGGAGCGGAGTCCTCTTCCTCCTCTTCCTCTAGTGCTTTGGGAAATCTGTGTCTGAAGGGAAACTCCCACACTGTTCTCAGATGCGCGCGCGCGCACACACACACACAGACACACACACACTATTTCAAGAAGTCTACGACACAGGTTCCAGAAGCTTGTCATTTCCAAAACGAGGCTGTCTTAATTCTTAACAGAGCTGCTCTGAGAAGCAAAGCCAGTGTTACTTTAAAAGTGAACAACTCCTCAACACCTGGAAACACGAATCGGGGTAGTAAAGCCAAGCATCACAAATGACCATAGTTAGTAAGAAAGTTTAATATGAAAAAAGTACATATTTACAGACACTATTAAGCTGTACAATTCATTCTAATAAAATAGGAAATGTTTTCACTTTACAAATCAGTCACACAATATATGCTGAGAATGTGCTCGCGTGTGCGCGCACACACACACTCACAATGCTGGCTGCCAGTGAGTTCCCCAGCAAACTCAGTTGGATTTACTTTGAGCAATCTTCTGTTGATTCTCAAGGCACTCCTTCAGCTTGTCTTCAGTTAATGTTAATCTTTGTTCTAGAATGGAAACAGTCTGCGAAAGGAGAAAGCAACAGCTGAAAGGTGTTGGAAAACCTTAGCATGCAAACCTACCACCTGGGACAAAGCTGAACTCGGTGGGACTTCCCTCTGAGCAAATATGCCCAGGATCAGGGTGTGTAGCACATCTTCTATTTATGCATTGCGGACTGTTTTGTTGCCTTACCAAACAGCCTTCCAAAGAGAATAATAACAATCACACAAAGTTACAACAGAACTTAAAATGTCTACTTTTGAGATGTAGGATGCTGGCACAACATGGGAGCAAAGCAGCTTGTTATTTTCGATTTTAGACGCAGACTTTTTTGGGAGGTGATCAGGGGGAGGGAATTATTTCCCTGCAGATCATTTCCCTGCTTCTCTCCACTATTTCATGCCACAATTAATTCCCGACCGAGAAAAATAACCTTAATTAAAAGGATTTGCCATAATATTGTCCTGCTGAAAAAAGTCACTGTGTGAAAGAATGTCTGGCTTTTACTGTACACAAACTAAAGGACCACTGGGTCTGAGCCACAGGGAAGGCGGGGAGAATTCCCCCACCACACACCCAACCTGTACCCTCCCATTAATTTACATTGCTGCATCAGGCACAGCGAGAGGTGAAAACACAGCTGGTGTCCTCGTTCCGCAAGCAAATATAGCCTCCAGCCCTCAAGAGGACAAAGCCAACAACAGATATACCCCCATTCCCCAATCAGGAACTGTGTTTCCCGGGATGAAAGGTCACGCCCTTTCATAGAATCCTAGACCTCCTAGAGTTGGAAGGGACCATTAGGGACATCTAGTCCAACCCCCTGCAATGCAGGAACCTTTTGCCTAACGTGGGGCTTGAACCCACGACCCTGAGATTCAGAGCCTCATGCTCTACCAACTGAGCTGTCAAATCTTGGATTTTTGTCTGGCATGGGGAGGTAGTTTCTTTGGCCAGGGTGGGGCGAGGAGAGAACCCTATGATTACTGAGTGACCTGGGAAGGAAGGTGGGCTCCCTTTTCGCGGGCTCACCATCAGTGGAGGCCACTCCAGCCACATCAGGAGTGACTGGCAGGTTCTTCCTCCCCCTGCATCATTCCATGTGGTGCTCTAATCTGTCCCATAGGAATGAATGCTAGCAATTCAGTTATATGACAGAAAAGCAAGAGTAATTTAAAAAATTTAAAAGAAATTATTAAACACTGAGAGACAACCTTGGGGTGGTAATAGGGCTAGCTAGCCTTGGGTCTTGCTTGCCAGCAATCCTAGTGCTTGGATTGACAGGAGAGCTTGCCTCCTCTTAAGTGTGCCCCACACAGACTTAAAGCAGAAGAATGGGAGCAAGTGAGAACCAACCCAGATCTGCCTAGCCATTCCCTGGGTTCCGTTTCTTGGTCACAGGACACTGACAACTGGTTTTTACAGGTATCTCTATACAGGGAAAGTATTCGAAGCCAAAGAATCACCAGTCATATACAACCTAAAACTGGCTGCTGTCACCCTTCAATAGATAGCAAGCTGCTACTTCATTGTGTGTTGCAAAGCCTGGGGGAAGAATATTTTGCAAGATGAGCTGAACGATGTTTGCAGATATGTAATATTAAGGCATCCAGCAATAACAGCCTCCTTAATCCATCTGAAGCCTCTTATGGGTGAGAAAGGCACATATTTGAAGCAATCATATTAGAACCTGACCCTGAAGTTCAAATGTAGAAGGCACCTGTATATAAAGCTAAACATATATCTTTCAGTATAGCGTGTTGGGTATTAGGGCCCTCTGCTGGTCCTTTTATGGCACTGTCCAAAGGAATGGCATAGTAAGAAATCTCCGATAAGTACCAGGTGTGAATTTGTGCAGTTAATATGGTTTGTAAAGGTTCAAAACAGAATACAAGTTGAGGCCTATATATTCACATTTAATGCTGTTGTACGCACTGATGAAGGAACTGTAAAAGAAGTGTGAAAGATCATTTACCCAGTACATTTAGTATTTATACAACACTTCCTTCAAGCATTGTATCATATACACTCTCAGTAATCATCAGAAACACCCTGTACGGTAGGCCAATATTAACATCCCTGTATTACAGAATGGAGAGGGGAGAGGCTGAGCTAAGGTCTGAACTGGAGACTTCCAGATCATAACTAACAATTTCAATGCACTAGTGGCTGCCGGTGGTTAGAGCATGACCCAAGAAACGAGACGTTCAATTAGAAGGGAACCATTCTGCTACATTAACCTGCCAGAAGGGAATACTGTCACTCTGAGATGCCACACACAAACACCCCTACCTATCAGCTTCTGTTTGTCTAAAGTCAATTCTCTGGCGTCAGCAACCTTGTTCTTTTTTCTACAGGCAAGGTGGGACAATAGCTGTTTCAAACTGCTGTAACAAATACAGTCTGAGCAACTGGGACCTGCCATTTTAGTTTCCCACAATGTTCCCCCACCATCATGTTGCTTTCCTGGAAAGCTGCTACTGCCAGGAATGCTCAACAGAGGGCTCCTCTGGCAGGCTTCCCTGGTAGCAGCAGCACTAGCAAGCTGGCCAAGGACTATAACCACTTGGAAACACTCAACTGTAATCTCTGGGCCACTGAATTTCCAGTTCCGCATTCTTCCAGGAAACTTTATCTGGACTAGCCTCCTGGTTGATAACTCCAAGCAAGAAAGATCTCACGATGATGCTACTGTCTTTAGCAATTGCGGAGACCAGGACCGGGGTGGACTTACGTCTCTTTAATGTAATCTTTCCACCAACTCGCTCAATCGCTGTGGGGTTTGAGATATATGCTTGACTTGTCAGGGAGCGCCCATTCAGCAAGCTAGAACAAGGCAGAGGCTGCTGACAAAATGAACACTTCAGCTAAAGTGCAAAAAGAAGCAAGGCTGCATATGAACATCTTGCTGTGCGGGACGTAATACCACTCCAGCCTCATCATTGCTAAATAATTCGTGTCTGGCAGATGGAAGCTACTTAACAGAATAAAAACATTCCTGCTGTTCTCATGTACACAGAAACGCCACTTGACACTTTTGTCTCCGTAGGAAGCGGACTACTCCACACTATCGCCACTGGCCGCAACTGGAGTCGTCCACCACAGTGGTTTGAGAATAGGCCAGTGAATCTTAATTTAAAAACAAATTCTATCCTGCCATCCTGGTGCACAGCTCACAACACAAAAACACCACAATTAAACACACAATAAACATGAACTGAGTTCATTTTTGAAGAACTGTGCGTTCTATGATTTAAGTATTGAACAGACCTCCCCAGATGCAGAATTCAAATAAAGCAACAGAATTAGAATAAAGCTAGCTGCATACCAATGACAACTAGAGGGGGAGAGTCTTTGTCTGCGAAAGAGAGAAACTATTCTGAGCACAATATCCCATTTTATAATTTAGAGGAAGCTGGTGATACTACGAATCCATGCCTTGCAACCTCCAAATGGGGCCAGCCACACATGACGTTTTTTTCCTTTACTAAGATAATGCCCTTATAGGAGAAAACACACAAGCTGTCATTTGTGAAGTTCAGCACAAATGTTTGGTTTGCCATGAACACTGTTCCCAGGGTCTCATGGGCCATGCCTCGCCATTTGTCCCCAGTGCTAAATCAAATAAAACTTGGGCTGATAGGAAGCACACACATGCTGAATTATAAGATACAACATTTCCTCTCTTTATTTGCGGACTAGACAAGTAGAAAAGGACTTAAGACACATCAAAGAAGAATCGGTTGAGAATATCTTTTGGGATATTCCATTTCAAGGCATCCATTTCAAGGAAAAGTCTCAAGTAGTAATTCCTTTTAATACCTGCTCTATCAACAAATAATGGGATGAAATGCAGAAGGTTTATGACCCTATTCAAGGTTTCATAGAGACTCCTGAAAGTATTGCATACCTGAGTGAGAACATCCAGCTGTCCCACAATATGCTGGAGGGTGCTGGCAAGACCAGCCTCGTCCATTTGTTCAGGTTGTCTTCTGGCAGATTCTGCCGTTTCAGTTCCTTGAATATGTTTATCTGGAACTTCTGCAAAATCCATCTCTGATTGCTAGAGGATGAAAAAAACATTGCTTACCACATTCAATGAAAATTGGAGGAGTGGGTAGGTGGAGACTAGTGGAGAGAGACATCAGCTCAAATGAAATACACAGTTAAGGATCATGTGCATCAGAAATTCAGAGAAGGGAAGCTGCTCAAGTCACTGTACTGCAGCTGTACTGCTGAAACCCTCCAATTTGTGCATGGTGGCCATGAAGACTACTTAGTAGGGATCAGCAACACAGACATTCTGCCCGTAAGCCATCCCCACCCACCCCCTTCCCAGTGCGGCATTTATCTTTTAATTAAAGTTAGTGGACTTGTAATTAAAGTTAGTTACGGACTTGATCCATCCCGGGGTGCCGTTCACACCCCAAAAGTCCATAACTAAAGTGCCACTTCTGTGCGCGCAGCAAAACCCGAAAGTATAGACTTTCGGGTTTGCTGCGTTCGCAAGCCAGAAAGACGCAACATGAACCTAACACAACACGAGGTATGACTGTATAAAAGTGAAATATAACCAGAGAATCAAAAGGAAGAGCAGACAACTGATATTTTTATACTCATCAAGAAATTTAGAAGCCCTTGGCTCCTCAATTTGATGTCAGGGGAGAAACATTTCTCACACCCCAAGGCACTTCAGTTGATTATTTTGCACCTTTAGATGAATATAACTCAAAATATAATGTAAAGTGTGTGTTTATTAAATAACAGCACAGTCTTTTCCTAGCCTACTGGATAGTTGGCCATCCTTTCTAGCTCAATCCACATACATTCTCTTTCAATAATTCCTCAGTGTTTCTTGTCAGGTGCACAGGCCAGGAGAATCCACCTACAATGAATGTGGAATTTGGAAAAGTTGCAGGTTCAAATCCTTGTATAGGGCTATTTTCCACAAAAGGGAAGAAGAGCATTTGCACTGTTTCCACCATAATAGATTTATTCCTGCAGCAAAGGAGACTTGGACGTCTGTGGCCTCTAGGATTTTATTAATCACACTTGCAGGCAGAGGCCTACCCTTCAAGTATTCCAATGTTCACCACAAGCACGCATAGGTCCGTAACTCATTAAAGTTTAGCTACATGCATGGGCTATAAAGACTCATGTGCTGCCTCAGTCTTGCACAATGCCCTCTTCTCTCTAATGCTAGGGGAAGACTTTGACAGTGTTTACTTTCAGTTTCCACAAATCCTGGCTTCTTGTTGCATATGAAGCAAAGATGATGGTTCAAAACCAACTAATGGAAGTTTCAATACAAGCTAACTTCAAGCCATGGGTTATAATGTGGTTGTTTGAGCAGAATTTGCTTTAAACCACCATCTCTAGGTCATAGACAATTATAGTATTTGTGGAAGCTGGAAAAAAGTCTACATAAGTCTTCCTTCTGGCTGTGTAGCAGGATAGAGAGGGGGCCATGTGCAATTTTCAGGCTTTGCTTGATCTCATTCTAGCTGATGTAGGTAGCGCTAAAACCATGTCTTAGCATTACATGCGAACCAACTCAGAGCGGACATTTGATTATCGTTTTCCACAGCTCACAAAGTGTGTTTCTGTCAAAGTCAATAAGTGAGGCTGTGACAAAGCTCTGTCAAAATACTTGTGAAGGCTTGCCTCTACTCATCACAGTAACATTAAAAATCCCCTACAGAGATGTTTGGTTTCACTTACCTTTTCTTGTCTGTAAATTCCAGATTTCTGAATCTCTCTACTGCCAGTATCCATTGGTTTCTACAAGCAAGGAATCCAAGAGGGTTGTGTTATTCTGCATTACCTGAGATGTGAAACTCAATGCACCCTAAATATTCCCATCTGTCTCCGACAGATTTTCAAAAGTTAGCTACCTGCTGACTTGAGCTGCACACTGACCTGACCTCAATGTCACAGTGCAAAGCAGTGCCCTGATGTCCAATTCGACAGCCCCAAAACTTGGGGTTCTGCCCTGCAAGATTTGAGCTGCACACTGACTTGAGCTGCACACTGACCTGACCTCAATGTCACAGTGCAAAGCAGTGCCCTGGTGTCCAATTCGACAGCCCCAAAACTTGGGGTTCTGCCCTGCAAGATTTGAGCTGCACACTGACTTGAGCTGCACACTGACTTGAGCTGCACACTGACCTGACCTCAATGTCACAGTGCAAAGCAGTGCCCTGATGTCCAATTCGACAGCCCCTAAACTTGGGGTTCCGCTCTGCAAGATTGTTTCAAATAATGCAGTCAAAAAAATGAAGACTAAGTGCTTTCATCACTTATTCCCACAAGTTTTGACATTAGCCACTGCTCCTCAAGATCTACGTAAGTGGCTTTCCCCATAATTTGATCCTGAAGAATAATTTCAGTTGCCTTACTCGAACTGTGGAAAAGAGGGTGATAGAACAGCAGGGAGTTTAATAAGCATTTCTTAGCAAGCAGCTGCACTGTGAGTAGAAGGAAAGGTCATCCAGGATTACGGTCTTAAATGCAAGGGGCCTGGCTTCTCCACAATGGGCAACAGCCCCACCATCACTTCCTTTAGTTCCCTTGAGGCTTCACATAATCTGTAGCTTAAAGGTAAAGGTAAAGGACCCCTGACAGTTAAGTCCAGTCGCAGATGACTCTGGGGTTGCGGCGCTCATCTCGCTTTACAGGCCAAGGGAGTCAGCGTTTGTCTGCTTCCGCAGACAGTTTTTCCGGGTCATGTGGCCAGCATGACTAAGCCGCATCTGGCAAAACCAGAGCAGCGCACGGAAATGCCGTTTACCTTCCCACCGGAGCGGTTAACTATCTACTTCCATTTTTGGCGTGCTTTCGAACTGCTAGGTTGGCAGGAGCTGGGACCAAGCAACAGGAGCTCACCCCATCATGGGGATTCGAACAGCCAACCTTCTGTTTGGCAAACCCAAGAGACTCCGTGTTTTAGACCACAGCGCCACCCATGTCCCTTGTAATCTGTGGCTTACTGGACACAAACCTTTAAAAGGTATGACATAAAATAAAAGCAGTCATAGATTGTCCAAGTGAAATGGCTCCATTTAAGAATTTTTCAACTTGCTCTGATTAAAAAATAGAATAAAAATAGAACCTTCCAATAAAATAATCAAACGGATATTCTGAAGTTCAGCCTGAGAATGAATGCAGAGTGGAGCATATCATGAGTTTTTCTAGCCCTGTGGTAAAAAACTAAATTTAAAGAAGGGCATGTAAAACTGACTCAAGTTCTTCATTATTACACCTATAGTTTACACAAGGTTCAAATGGGGCTTTCCCAAGCCTTTTAAGAAGATCAGCCCCCACCCCAAAATCACAGTACCGATGATCAGCAAACCAATATTTGGTACTATCTAGAAAGAATCATAAGATCAGTGCCAAAGCCCTTAATTCCTAGCACACACTTAATGTCATTCACAACTTAGTGCTTTTAACTTTATTTTTCAATGAAGGAAGCTGGAGCCTTCAGACCCTTTCAGCCAAGCAAACACACATACATGTGCATGAAGACAATGGCACTCACTCAATGGTTATCAAACCACAGAAAGAAAAATTAAGCACAAGACACTTTTCAGAGCTTGTTCGCAGCCAATATGCAAAATTCTAAACAGGGACTATTTAGAAGGGGTACTGTATAATTACACAAGTGCAGAGAATAATCCTATTTTAGTTCATTGTTCCTGTGCACAATTTGAAGAGCACAACAGAACAAAGGTATTTGATACTAAGTACCTACTTAACAGGTACTGGAAATATTCAAAAGAACAGAACACTGAACGGTAGGAGAGACAAGCCGTTTGTGGGACTATTATTGGCAACAACATAATTGACTCATTTATAGCTTCTACTAGATGAGAGCTGCAACTACTGTAGGTTGGGGAGGAGAATAAAAGCAATCCTCTTTTGAAAATCCCTACCACACTCCCAGGCAGCAGACTAGTCTTGCTAACTAAGGGGGTTGTCACAGACTGGTTGGACACAGAGGAATGGTGGGAAGAACCAGCTGGGGAACCTCCAAGCGAAGAAGGCCCCTCCTGCTGTGACAAGCTCCCCTTCCCACTGGTCTCCCAGAACCAGGAGAGGAATGAAGAGGGAGGAGGTTAGCTTAGTGGGAGGCAAAGTCTTGGAGAAAACCCTGACGAAGAGGGGACTTGGGCAGCTGTGGGAAGACATGAAGCTTCAGTCTCAGCAACTGCTTCATGGAGGCAACCTGCCGCAGACGAGTCACTGCCCTGTGCAGATCCTGTTTTTGTTAACAAAGAGTTAACTCCAACTTGCTCAGTGTGATTTACTGCTGGCTCGCTCCTGCCAAGTGTTTGCAAAAAAAAAGTTGTTTGTCCAGCAACTTATTTGGGCCTGCAGAAGCTGAACTTTATTCACAAGTTGTTTCAATGGTGTCAGTCCATATTTATTGGGTTATAAAGAGCAGCCATCCTTCATAGAAACATAAAATTCAACAATAATTACTTGGCATTTATATATTGCTTTTGAATGTTTTAATACTGTATATGTTATCTTATGATCCTAACAACAACTCCTCTACAAAATCCAGGTTTTAATTTCCATATCACAGATTGGGGGAGATTGAGGCTGAAATCCCTCCTAGCACTACATACTGTAGCAAGTTCATGGGAGAGGCGAGATATGAACCAGGGACCTTCTGCTTCACAGCTCAAGTTTCTTTTCTCCAGCTAGCATTTCTCAAATACAAACCCATGTAAAATGAGAAAGATCAAACACATACGACTCTTCCTTACTGAGTTCTCTGCAGTTTTACATTTAGGGGAATTCCGAATAAGAGAAAGAATGCCATAAATAGAAAGCAAATTGTATTCCTATCCTCCCTAGAAATTGTGTAGCCATGGTACAAACTAGAAAGTCCACTCTCACTCAAGAGTAACCAAAGTTATGGAGATTGTATATAACTGAAAGTATATGGCTAATCTAATGCATCAGATAGTCTAGTTAGGAATAGAAGGAGAAACATTCGATTTTCATTTTTAAACTAAAGAAGTGCTTACATCTCATGACAAAATTCAGGTCATAATAAAAATATTTTCACCTATCAGAGGAGTTATTTTAGATATGGGTAAAGGATTATTTCATCCTTAGCTGCACAGAAAAAGAGTAAAGAGTGACACCCAGTGGAATAACTCTCCTAAGAAAAAGAAAACACTGAGCAGATCCTCTGGGGCATGAGTTTTTGTAGAAAACTGGCAGTTATAAAATGCATCATAAGAAGCAAAAGGTGATAAAGTCAAGGTAACTGGAAGATAATCCAACCAGACAATAAATCTACATTCTTCCAAAAGCTTTCTTGAAACCTGAAAGCCAAACCCATCAACAGTCTGGTTCAGCTCAAAACAAAACGTGTCAAGTATGCCCACAAACATTAGAAAGGAATAATAAGCATCAAAATTAGTAAGGCACTGTACAGTCAAAACAAGGTATTTCTTTAGGCAACGATGAAAGACAATGCACAATCTGGTTTTGATTTGGGAGGTGCTGCTTAGTGGAACTAGCAAATTACTTAATGAGGAAGTGAGGACTTCCTTATTCCAACAGACTTTTGGGAACTGACTGCTATTAATGAAAAGGGCAGGTGCTGCAATGTTTTTACTGTAATTATGTGTACATATTTAATAGATCTTATAATTTTTAATTCTATTAGTGCATAATTTTTTAAGGATTAAAAAATGTTTTTAGCTGTTCTTATGAGTCCCTGTCAGGGAGAAAGGCAGGATATAAATAAAGATGAGAAGGATGATAAATACATGGTGATGACGATGCTCACAAGTGCTCTGCACATATGAAGTCCTTCTTTTAGGATTATGCCATATTATTCTAATCTAAACTAATTAAAATTGCCTAATATTGGAGGAGCTGGGATAAAAAAAAACACTTTAAAGGGGGGGAACCCTCAGCTTTCGATGCACACCATCTCACTATTCTCTAGAGTTATTTGTGCCACTTGATAGTTTTATTTTATTTTGTGCCATTTTAAAACTGTTTACAGTGTGGGGAAAGAAAAGTTGCATTCTGTCTTTTGGAACTTGGGTCAACCATAAAAATAAAAGAATGCGCACGGCAACAATTCCAAGTTGCATTTAGAAATATAAGCAATTTCATGGTTGCTCAGCAACGTTTTGTTGCAACTTTCTCTGTTGCTCAATCAATGAATACATACCAGGGTGGTGTTCATTATTAGCAGTGGGGTGGACCCAGAGCTGCTCCCCCCCCCCCCCGCCAAAGAATAGAAGAGACTGCAGTCCAGTGAAGGTTCCCCACTGAAGACAGGGAACCAATTATCATTTATTCCTCCTTCCTCCTCCTTTTATTCTCAGTCTGGGAAAAGTTGAGGGAGGGAGGCAGGAAGTCTAACCACTTTCCTTTTTATTTCCCCCAAATCCGAAACATTTGTTTAATAAATAAATAAATAAGTTTTTGAAGGTGTCTTTAATATGAAGAACACTTAAATAGTTCGACTGACTGAACACTGCCATAACCTTTTGCCCTGGTTTCTTTTTCTGATACTTTAAAGACAAAAACGGGTAACAGATCAGACCCATTCAATTCTGAGGTTATGTAAGGAGCACGGCATGCATTAGACCTCTTGAAGCATCGCAGCTCCTGTGCTGCTCTACATGGGAGCTGGGATGTGCCTGGTATCGCTGTACACACAATTGGGGCTTCCAGGTTGTATGGAATCCTTCATGCATACAAATGTACCTGTGAAGGCACAGGCCAAAGAGGGAAGGGTAGTCAACACTCACCCACACCTGTTTAGAGTGATACAGGCCAGAAGAGGACTGCAAAAGTGACTAAAGCCAGAAAAAAAACCCAAATCATGTGCTCAGAGGTATTCAGATCTCTCATGATTACTAACCTGGTTAATTTTTTTGCTTTGTTTTTAAGATGAACCTTTTTTATCCCACAGGGGCCACAGAAACAGGATAAACAGAAAAGATATAGCAGCAAGGGATAGGTGTAGGCTTCTAAGAAGCACAGGGAATAGTAGTCAAGAAAGACAAAGAGGAACTCTTACAAAACTCTGGGTTGATTCTTCCACAAGCCTCGGGATAGTATTGTTATTTATAAAATTTATATACCGCTCTTCATCCAAAGATCACAGGGTGGTTTACAACACAAAATTCAAAATGCATGACATAATAAAAACAATAACTGGTTCTCTGCAAAAAAAAAAAAAAAAGGTTTGGGCTATAATCCTATAACGCACCTTAGCTAGAAGTACTGCTGTACTTAGTGGGGTTAACTTCTGAACAGACATTTATAAAAGACTGCACTATGTATAGAAATTTGCTCAGGGCTTTTTTGTCAGCCGGAACTTGCCAGAACTCAGTTCCTGCACCTCTCAGGTGGATGCCATTGCCATTATAAGAGAACAAGGCTTATTATGGTGAGCTCTGGCATTCTTTTTTCTAGAAAAATCGCACTGGAGTTGCTTTTTATGACATAAATACTCAAAAAATTACATTGTGCACAGTATAAGTCATTTAATTTAATCACTTTATCACTAAGAGAAGTTCCAAGGAAACTGTTTATCCTACTCCCCCCCATCCCCTCAAAATGCATTAAAAATCTGCTGTGGGGGGAGGGAGATGAACCAATGCCCAAATTAGAATGAATTCCTAATTTGAGAGCCACAAGGTCAGAACAGAAAGCACATCTGGCATATGAGCAGTTTGAGAAGAATTTGCTTACATAAAGAATAGCTGGATGAAAAAGAACAAAATGTTATAGTCCGCAACAGAAACAGCACAAGAGACCACTGACAAAATGCAAGAAGTGGAGTGCCTTACATGGTAACCAGATGGGTAACAATGGGATTATTGGACTTGAATGCCAGGCTTTGCTTTCTTTATCACCAACACGCAATGAGAAGCTCAACCGGGATTACAAATAATCTATCCCAGAAAACTAGAACTATGGTAATGGAATTTCTTGAGAGCTATCAGTTCTACCAAAGTGTGGAATAACCAGAGAACTGAAAAATCTAGAATGACCATCAAGGACATCAACTTACCACACTGTTGGAAGATCCATTCACATTCATACTGGACCTCTGTGTTCTCAGTGCATCACCATAGTCAGTGCCATTCACATTCATATTGCATTTCCGTGTTTTCAGCAGGTCGCCATAATCAGTGGCATCAAAGTTTGTTTTCCACACCATTACCTGTAAAGCCATTTTGAAACAGCTTTCAAACATACAACGATTTGGGTAATAGCTTGTGTACAATTCACAGGATTAAGATTACATCTTCCCCAGAATAAATAATACCATGAAGCTTTTCCAAACTATGTTTAATTAATATTGCCTCCCCAACAGAGTAGTTTTATTACAAGCTATTTATTTTTTAAAAAAGCTTTTGCAAGATTGGCCCAGAGAGCACATGGTGCTATTAAGTTTTTGAAGCTAGGATTCCGTATTGCCAGAGAGCACCGATGCAAAATAAAACTAATAATAATAATAATAATAATAATTTATTATTTGTACCCCGCTCATCTGGCTGGGTCTCCCCAGCCACTCTGGGTGGCTTCCAACAAAGATTAAAAAGACATTAAAATGTCACATATTAAAAACTTCCCTAAACAGGGCTGCCTTCAGATGATCAAAAGCAACTTTGAGATTAGTAACTAAACTGGCTACTTTTTAAAAAAGTTTTCAAAAGCATGCAGATTGTTTGGGGCTGTATCTAACAAGCCTTCATTGGAAGAGCCACTTATTAATGCTTTCCTATTTTTATTTGTTTTAAGAACACAGAGAGAGAGAGAGAGAGAGAGAGAGAGAGAGAGAGAGAGAGAGCCACTCAGTACAAAAATGAAAAATTTAGGTCATTAGTAAGTTGCCTCTATATAATAAATAGGTAAGAAGCATAGATTAGATCCTTTGGGCAATGTCTGTTGATCCTTTGGGCAATGATCCTTTGGGCAATGTCCTTGGGCAATGTTCGTATTAGTACCTCTTGGCAAGGGCAGACTATGGGGGAATACTGCTCAGGTGCAGACAGCTAACTAATGGTAGGTACTGGACTCCTTAGGCCCAGCACACCTTAGGGAATGCGTTCCCTCATACATATCTCCCTGCTCTTTTAAGATCAGCTGGAAGTGTCAGCTCCAAGTTCCATCACCCCAGCGATGCCAGACATATCAGTACCAGGAGGCCAGGGCTTCCTCTCTAGCAGTGCTGCAACTTCTAGAACAAGCTCATCAAAGAACTTCCTTACTTCTGACACCAATTTGCCATATTTCCACTCTTCCAGGCTTCTAAAAGGCTGCTTTTGATATCTTCTCTTCTTGTTTGTTTCTAGTTGCAATACTCTTTTGTACTCTGCCTTGGGCATTTTTATAAAAAGGTAGCAATTTTTTCCCCTAAATTGCATTCAACTGCTTTCAAATTAAACACAAGATTTCAATATTTTAAGGCAAGTTTGCAGACACAGAGGAAGAAAGTAAACAGAAGGACGGAATGGCCATATCTAAAGCTCTTGCTCTCTCTCTTTCCCCATTTAGGCCTAGAAACACCACCAAAATATTTGGTCTTCCAACTGGCCCTAAAATCCCACCGTTGAGACACGACAGGGTTATATTTATGTAACTTATTGCAACTCATTTTCCTGGGCTCCATTTCAGCTGGTTTATCCCATCTTCAACTACCAGTCATGACTAAACACTGCAACACAGCCCACAATCTTGGACTCTGATGAAAAGGAATGAAAGGGCTGGGCTGGGCAATATTAACATGCTGGTGGCCTTTTATCTCCAAACTCAGGTTGAAAACAGTTTGCTGAACAAAAATTGTCTAAAGAATCAGAGGAGACTCTTATCTGTGATGCCTGCCCTTGGCCCACTGCATTTTGTCTGTATATATATTTTAAAATAACATAAAATAGGTTTTTATTGTGAAATTGCAATTGTAATTTGCTGTAATCCATCTTGAGATATGTGTATGAATTAGAAAAAAATAGAAAATAAACATGAAGCAGATACCTGTTCATCGAAGCCTCCAGAAGCAAAGAAATCTCCAGTTCTCGAGAAAGTAACACAGGCAGCTGGTCCCTGTAAGAGAACAACTCATATAGTATGGATTGAACAGCCAGAAAGTATATATTGAAACGGGCAGTGAGAGTGGACCTGCTTTTCTCTACTATCTATTGCAATATATTTGTTGCAATCCCCATGTAGTTCAACCACAACTAAGCATTAATGTTGACTGAAAGCATACTTATATCATGCCTTGCAGCCCCGAGAGGGTATAAAGCAAAGAGGTTCTTGCAGCAGCTGACAAAATGTTCTCTGGAGTCAGGAACAGAAATAACATGGTGTCCCCATGATGCCAAGATTATTCAGGTGGCATTCCCCCTCCCACCTGCATCCCACTGAGGTCCTGTGAGGCTGCAAGGGGGTGAGGCTGAGCAGCTAGATCACACGCAACCCATGATGGCAGCATGTTTTCCCTTGCTGGCAGGCAACAACTCCCACTGACGTCCTCGGAGGCAAGGGAGTGGAGCTGAGAATGTACAGCTATGACACGCTAAATAACCTTACCCAGTGATAGTATCTTGAACCTTCAATTAGATTTGCACAGAACCACCCACAGCCAAGCAGAGCAAGGGAAGATACAAAATTTAGAAGTGCCTACTCCCTTTTTTAAAAAAGATCTCCAAAACTGTACGATAGGTTCCAAACTACTAAAATACTAGATTTAACCTCAAAAAAAAATTGCTGGCTGATTAAATTATGTGAACAAAGTCATGCCATGCAAACTTTTGAGAAGCAGCTAGAATACAACTTGGTTACAATAATGTTATGCTCAACCAGCGCAGTCATTCAATCCCGATATTCCAAGGTTAGTGATTCTCCCAAGGTATTGCCAGAAATTCCCCTGAGTAAAAACTGAATCTACCCACAGATTTGTTCTGCACTCTTCTAGCCACTTACCTGGGATTAAGCTCCACTGAACTCAATGGGACTTATTTCTGAACTCAATGGGACTTACAACACACATGCACAGGGCCATCTGTGCATCCCCAGATGACAAATCATGGCCACTGAATGTAAACAAGAGACTAACCATTTGTTTGGGACAGTTTTGTCACTGGTATGATTAATCTAGAAATAAGTGTGTGGGAAATATAATTCCAAACATTTATGTCCAGTATCTGCCAGATCTCATTTTGAAGGAGACATGAAATGTGCATTGCTGAGCTTTACTATCAGATGATTCCTACCTCAACGGATTATAATCTATGTAACCTTTTCACACAGGGGAGATACTGTACTTGCAATTGTACATTATCTTCAACATTATGCTTAGGGACCTTTTTATAATAATGAGCAATGCAAATTCCCACAACTATCTTCCTTGATGTGATTAAATTAAAACAAAGCAACCACAGTGGGTATATGGATTCTACTGCAGAACTGATCTTAAAACCCTATCTGCGCTATACATCTAAAGCGCTATGATACCACTTTAATCAACCATGGCTTCCCCTAAATAAACTTGCAAAGTGTAGTTTGTTAAGGATGCTGAAAGTTGTTATTTGTTATTCCACTCACAGAGCTACAATTTCCATTTTGGGAACTGTAGCTCTATGAGAATAATAGGGATATCCTAACAACTTTCATCATCCTTAATTCCCAGGATTCTTTGGTGGAAACCACGACCATTTAAAGTGGTTTAAGACTGCTTTTAATATATAGTGCAGATGGGACCTTAATGTGAGAAACCATAAAAAACAGTAGCATTATAGAAGCATTTTAATATTAGTCCAGATTTAATATAGACACATCCACTGGGACTTGTTCCAGATAAAACTACTCAATAAATATGCTTAGATTTGCTTCTACTTGCATTATACAGTACTCCTGTGTTGTACCCACACCTATTCAGTCTTGTTAATTCTTTGAAACAGACTCTCATTTGTGGTCTATACGTTACATTCTATGGCTCCCCACTAAAAAAAAGTTGTTTCTCTAAAGATGATTATAGCTTTGTCTCTATCAAGCCTGGTTTATCTATCCAATTACATGTCCTAAGAATGGGTCTAACCTGCTATCCCAACAATTGTTCCAGCCTTCCCCAAGCTGGTGCCCCCCAGATGTTGTTGGACTACAATGCCAATCGTCTTTGGCCATCAGCCATGCTGGGTGGGGCTAATGGAAGTTGGAGTCCAGCAACATTTGCAGGGCACCAGCTTGTGGAAGGATGAATTATTCTATCATGTAGACAGCAAGCACAGCTTTATCAAAAAACAAACAAAAATCCCACAACCCTCCAATTGACACACAAAGAGAGAGAGAAAGAGAGAGAGAGATGCTGTACTTCTGCACAAGTTTTAATGACCACCCAAGAATTGCATAGTTCTGAAACGTTCTGTTTCTGTACAAGTAAAATGTCAGCAGTGGGCCTATGTATTCATTCCAAGCCCTGTTTGTACCTCAAGAAGAATGTATTCCATAAACTGAAAGCCTTAAGACGCAATCACAGCAAACCAAATTTTGCAGCTGCAAATATCAGCAGTGAGTTAAAACACCATTTCCCCAATGATCCTTCTGGTATGAAGAGTAAGCACCATTATAATTGAAGACAGCAATGTAAACTTGGCAGCCTTCTCTATGTAAACTAGTACTAATCAGCTAGTAATGAATTCCTGGTAAACCAATAGTTGCGTCAAAGCGCTTCTAAGGAATCCGAGGCTTCTCTCATGAGTAATTGTCCCAGAGCACCAGTCCAGTGCCAGAACAAGAACCAAATCTGAACCAGGCACTAACACGCAAATTACAAAAATTTAACAAGCTGTTCATCCAAGTAACGAATATTCCCTGTAGACTAGTCACTTGACTTACTGTCATTTCTATCAAAAGCCATTTAAAGCCTAATTATTAGTCCTATAAGATTCAGAACATCTATGTTATTAGGTCCCACAGAACTCCATCTCATCTCCCACGCTTGTTAGCACCTACATGAAACTGATGAGCAAGGTCACCCAGAGATTTTACACTCCCTTCTCTATTTCTATTTTACATTGGATCCAGGTGAGACAGCAAGGCAAATGAAGAAAGGTATGGCAACGAGAGCAATGGCTTTTCTGTACTGCCAAGCAAGCATTGGTTGAAACGTACTCCATGAAATGGAGTTTCAGACTCTTTGGAAGCCAAAGAGAAGGAGAAAGGAGAAGACAAAGAAATACGGAGAAGAATTCTCAGTGAACCACTCAAAGCAAAGGCAGGAACATAAGAGAGGAAACCCAAAAATACTTTTGAGACAACTGCACTCCTGCCTTTGAGAGGAGAGGGGAGGCAAATCTACTTGAGTCCATTATAATATCACAGGAAAAGGTGTAGTGTACTCAAACATGCGTGTGGAGCTTTGAAAGGTCTACAGTAATAAACGACTCATGTCTAAAGAAGTTCTCCTCACCTGGTGGCCATGAAGTGTATACAGCAGTCTCCCCTCTAGTAAATCCAGTATTTTTAGAGTTGAATCGTTGGAAGCAGTAATGAGGTAGTTTCCAGAGGAGTGAAAAGACAGGCAGTTCACTGAAGCACTGTGAACTAAAAAAGAAAGAAAGAAAGACAGCGCAAGTTACCAATACAGTTTGACATTAAAAAATACAAACTGAAATAGAAAGGTGGATAAGGTCCATACATCCATACAAAAAATGGCTGAATGGCATTTTCCCCCTTCTTATGATTTTCATCCTATATCTATGTAAGTTTTCAAGGACCCTCAGAAAAATCTAGTCCTATGAAAACTGGAACTGCCTCAGAAGCTCAAGGTCTGCCATAACTGCAAGTTAAAACACATACACACTTCTTTTCCTCCAAATTTTAATTTTTAACGGAATAAACACATGAGTCCCAGTTGTAGCAATAAGCAACTCTTCAAAGATTTCTGACCACTACACCCATCTTGAGCCCCTCTGGTTAGCTGCACTGATGTCAGATAGGGCGTGGGAAGCCATGAGAGGGCAACTACCATATTTTTCACTCTATAGGACGCACCGGACCATAGGAGGCACCGGACCATAGGAGGGGGAGAACAGGGGGGTGTTTCTTGTTCTCCCCCTCTAAAACAAGGTGTGTTCAAGGTGCATTCACCCGAACCTGTGGGGCTGGCGGTGGGGGGAAGCACTGCTTTCCACCACCGCCAGCCTCAAAGATCCCTGAAGCCTTTGGAGCGCAGCGCCCCGCTGCTCTGCAGAGACTTTGCGCGCAGCCATCCCCAAGCTAGAAGAGCGAGACAGAGCCCTCCGTCTCGCTGTTCTGGCTTTGGGCTTAGCTGTGCAGCCTGCATTCGCTCTATAGGATGCACACACATTTCCCCTTAATTTTTGGAGGGGAAAAAGTATGTCCTATAGAGCGAAAAATACGGTAAGTAGTAAGGGAGAGTTGTGGAGACAGACATCAGACCTGGAAATCCAAAGTTCATCAGCATCATCTATTAAATTAAACAGTATGTATGGCCCAGATACCATAAGCAAAGTGTAATTCAAAAGACCATGGTATGTGAAATATTTTTGGATTAAAAGCAACCTAAACCAGCTTCTGTATATTTGAAAAGGAAGAGAGAAACTGGAGTCTTCAATCCAATTTGTTTACACAGGGGAATTCCCTACAGCTGCAGTAGCATTTTATTATGAATATTAAGCTTTATACACAAAATACCTTATTGAAACAAAAATGTCATTCCTGAAGTTTAACTAAAAACTAGCACACTCTCTCTGCATAATGGTGTGATCACATTTTATTTAATTTCTTTAGCTTTGGTACTGTGCGTTTTAGAAAAATTATCTTCTTTTAAGCCAGGTGTGGGGAAGCTTTGGTCCTCCAGATGTCGCTGAACTACAACTCGCATCAGCCTGAGCAAACATGGTCAATGGGTAAGGATGATGGGAATTGTAGTACAGCAACAGCTGGAGGGTCAACGCTTCCCTATGCCTGTCCTAAGCCAATGGTTCTAATTTAAAATTCTGCATGCAGCTCTTTCTGATGCTTGGAAGCTATGATGGCAAAACTACCTTTTTTGTTTAATTATCCACTTCAAGAATCAAGCTACAAGTTTAGCAATGAAGACTTCTGACAGCGCATTGCTTACCTTGGTAATGCTGCAGAAGCCTATTCATCCTAACATCCCATACTTTCACTGTGTTGTCTGTGCCAGCTGCAGCAATACATGTACCACTAGGGTGGAAGTCCACATGAGGCACAAAGCTGCAAAAAGATGGGAAGACAAGATCAAATCTCTCTTCTATTTTGGAGGAAGAAAACAATATTTTAATCTAAGCAAGTAGCGAAAAATACTAGCTCCTCAAAAGTTGTTCTTACAAAACATTGTGCAACTTCATAGTAAATTTCCCCTAAAGTGTGTAAGATGGATATTAAATGTTTTTATCAGCCAGTTTTTGCTTTCCCACATGGTAAAGTCACCATGAGACTTTGGCTCAGCCCATTGTACTGACTCTTTCACTGCAACACTGGCTCTCTGTGCAGCAAAGAAAGCCACAGAAGGCTGAACTGCACTATCTTTTCCATGGTTTGGGGATTAGAGAAACTTCCATTAGGACGCTTATCTCTTTGGATGCGATTATAAGGAGCCCTACAGAACACTGCTCACTCCAGAGAGGCTTGTCCTCTCTGCACAGAACTACTGAAAGCTGTAACATACAATCTCACAGGTAACACAATATTCTCTTAATTTAGAGCCTTTAATGATATTATATAACATTAATAAATAAAATGAGCCTAACGTGTTGAAATCAGTGATTATGAAATTACCGATTCCTGCTAAAATACTGAGGACTTAAAAAATGGAACAACATTCAGTCTCCTATAGTCTCCTGAAACATCTGAGCTGTCAGACATGGAAAAATGAACAGGAGTAATTGAAAGCTGAGAACTGCTGAGACCATTAATGGTGCAACTATTTTGACTACTAATGTTGTCAATAAATGAATTTGATAGCTTATTGAAATTTGCATCTTCACGTTACGTTAGATAGAACTTTGTTTTTGTAACTGGGTTTGTTTTGTTGTCAGATTTTTAAAACAGACATTAAAAAAAAACAGCAACATCACCCCGAAGATTACATATTCCTTTCTCCAATTAAGGTCCAGATGCAAGTGACTGCTGAGCCCTTGGCTGACAATCAATATTTATTATATTTTGCCCCAGTCTTCCACCAGGGGTCTCAAGGTTACACTTCTCCCCACTTATCCTGCTTTACCTTAACCAACAACCCTGTGAGATGAAGTAGGCTGCCTGAAAGACAGTGAAAGGCCCATGGTCACCCAAATAACTTCAGGGCTGAGAAGGAATCACAAAAAACCTTTCATTGCCACAGAAGAGCCTAAAAAAGAGAAGTACAGCCATACCTTGGAAGTCAAATGGAATCCGTTCCGGAAGTCCATTCGATTTCCAAAAGGTTTGGAAACCAAAGCGCAGCTTCTAATTGGCTGCAGGAAGTTCCTGCAGCCAATCGGAAGCCACAGAAGCCCTGTCGGACGTTCGGGCGCCAAAGAACATTGGCAAACCGGAACACTCACTTCCGGGTTTGCAGCGTCCAGGAGCCAAAACGTCCGAGTACCAAGGTACAACTGCATCTGCTGTTCCCCAGTACTCTAGGAAAGCTAGAACACTAAGACAAGTTCATGCATGACCCAATTGAATCCAGCACCCTCTGTGGTAAGTCCTCAAGTCCCCCATCGGGGACAAAAGTGAGCCTTATCCCAAATCCCGTGTGGGATTGACTTTCATTGTTTTATTTCTATGTATTCTGTATTATATTATGTTGTTAGCCACCTGGGGCTCAAGGAAAGGTGTGATAGAAATGTTTGAGATAAATAGGAGCTATCCTAAGGGGCATGGCTGAGCCGAGCGAAAACAACGTCCAGAACACAGACACGTTTTAAGCATAGACTATAAATCATATTTATGGCACTAGTCTTCAACAAGACTCCTTCACAATATAAATTTCTATCACACGTCAGTACATTTAAATGGGCACGGTCACCATGTAAAACCAACATTGTTTTTAAAGAAACTGTGACAACTTTAGCACTAGTGTGACTCAGGCTTAAAACTCATATAATAAATGCTTGCGAGTCTACAAAAAAACACACATTTGAACAAATGCAATTGTTATTATCCGGCTTCTAAGCTTAGTGTGGTGTAAAACGTTATATTAAAAATTTAGAGAATGTGACCAAATTACAGAGAATGTTCACAGAATGAAACATACAGCACATAAGGAGATATGTTCTTGTACATCAATATAGCAAAGCTCTAATCGAGGTTCCACAAGCTGAAGGCCAGTCCCCTGAAGCCCCAAGGAATTGCACCAATACTTGCCCACCATGTTCACAGAAAGAATGTATACATTCTCTGCTTGTTTTATCCCAAAGTTTGACAGTTTTGTCATCACTGGATGATACTATCAATCTTCCATCAGGAGAAAACCTAAAATAAATACATTCATTAAAGCAAGATTAGGAGCAATATAAGCTAGATCTGGATTGTCCTCAAGTGACAACAAGATCATTATTTCAAAAGTCAATGGCTAAGAGACACTTGTGCTAAGCAAAGAGGGTGTTATTTAACTAAGTTTTACTCAAAATAGATTTACCTTTGTCATGTTCATTAATTGCAATGGGTCTACTCTGAGTTAAAACGTAGTTGAATACCACCCATAGGCCTTTTTCAAGGACTCTTCTGATTGTAATTTGTTTTAACCAATTGTAATGTTTACTTATAGTTGGTAAGTTGCCCTGGGACTGTAAAATGATGGGCAGGTAAGAAATTCAATAAATAATAAATACTTCTGTTGATTAACTCTTTTTCCTCTCTGACAATCTATCTCAACAGGATTCCATCAACTATGCATGTAGTCAGAACAATGGACTTTTCCATACATGGACAATCCTTTTGAGATATTACAGTAACCAACAAAAACCATAGCATTAAAATGTAAGCTTTTCTATTAAACAATCCTATTGGACCAGTAATTAATGAAATGTACTGTATTAATGAAATACTGTACAGATAAGTCTTATTTTTTCCTTACAATTATTCCCCCTTTCCCCCTCTTTTTCTTATCTAAAATTTAAGCCTCTTTGGAAGTAACAGTAATTATTAGAAACCATTTTAAAGAACAGTGGTCATAGTCAGTAGACTTATTGAAAACAAGTGGAGAAACGGATGGGGAAGATCAGAAACCAAGACGACCAAGTATTTGTTAGAGATTGGAGTAAATCCATAGTTTATCTAATAAAAACCACAGTAAGCAGTTAAAATCATTGGTAGCATTGTAATGAAATTTGTAACGTGAAATGGATTATGATAAATTAGGGATACAGAATAGCTGGAAAAATTACAATAGGCAAGATTTTTTTTTTTATTTAAGAACCCATGGGAGGGAGGGGAGGAAATAGGAAGGTTCACGCAACCTTGTAATTGGATATATGTGAGAGATAATACAGTATGTATAAAACTGTGAAAAAATAATAATAATTATTACAAAAAAAGAAAGAAACCAAAGCACTTATTGAAATCTATGGATTTCAGAAAGTGCACTCAGTAGGATGACTTAGATAATGCTGCTTGGTTATATCCAACTGACTGCTTCTTCTAACAATGACAGCTCCCTTCCAACTAGACAGGAATTAGTTGGAAACACAACTGAAGCTCTGAAAGGTGGCTAACTCCTAAAGTATATTGATAGCCAGGTTAAAAGATGAGTGGGTTTATAAGTGAGTTAAGCAGAATTTCAGATCTTCCTACAGTTGTGTACTTTTGCTATACAAACTGGTTTTATGCCATATATATATCACCGCAACAATGTCAACAAAAAAAAAGGGGAGGGAAGAGTTTTACTTACTTTGCACAGCGAACCCAGTTTATGTGCTGACTTAGTGAAAATAAGAATTTTTGTCTGTGGACAGCCCAAACTTTAACTGTTTTGTCATCAGAGGCTGTAACCAATGATTGGCCATCATTAGAAAAGTGAACACTTCTGACGGTTCCTGTATGAGCCTTGAAGGTAGTCGATTCTCCCTTGCTAAGTTTAGGGGGGAAAGCACAAAAGATTAACATACTGCATTCCACACAGTATGAAGCTTATGCACATTTGCCTACTGGCTTCTAATATATATATATATATATATTTACATTAGGAGAAAGCTGTTGGTTTAGGCCTCTGGAGCATACCAAATACAGGAAGAAAACTGTTTTACTTAATTCTAGTTACTGGAATGGCTCCTAACGCAGACAGCCTGCGTTTGTATCTTTTACGCAGAACTAAAAAAAAAAATGTTTAGTAAACGGCAAACAGACTCGTTCCAATGATGCAATTTAAATAAAAATCATGTAAGAACGTCACATCATAGGTTTTTCTGCAAAAAGGAAAAAGACGTCTAAACATGAGGGACATACTGTGAGTTTGAAAACTTTACAAGAGTAATTCACATTTAATTATACACATACATCATTCCGCCCTGAACTTTTTTGTACAAATAAGTGACGAGCTACAAGCATATTTGTGTATTCTTGTATATGATTCTACTGCTTACATGAAAGTACAGAACATCAAGCTAGGAAAGGTCAGAGCCAGGGTTTAAAAAAGAAAAAAAAAGGCATTGAGGTCCCTCTTCTAAATATATTTCATAAAATTTATACACCACTTGATTGTAAAAAAAAACCTGAAATGTGTGTGAAACATAGGAACTGCCTTGTAGCAAGTCAGACCGCCCATCCATCTGGCTCTGCAATGACTGGCAGTGGCTCTCCAGGATTGCAAACACAAATATGCCCAGCTCTACCTAGACATGCAAGGATTTGAACTCAGGACCGCCTGCATGGAATCTCTTCCACTGAGCTACAGTCCTTCCTCTGCCAACTGACACATACAGTGGTACCTCGGGTTACAGACGCTTCAGGTTACAGACACTTCAGGTTACAGACTCTGCTAACCCAGAAATAGTACCTTGAGTTAAGAACTTTGCTTCAGGATGAGAACAGAAATCGTGCTCCTGCGGCGTGGCAGCAGCAGGAGGCCCCATTAGCTAAAGTGGTGCTTCAGGTTAAGAAAAGTTTCAGGTTAAGAACAGACCTCCAGAACGAATTAAGTTCTTAACCCGAGGTACCACTGTATTTTCTTCTCAAATAGTGTGTGGCTACTTTTTAAAAACTGGAGTGAAAAGCTCTTTGCCATAGTTACTGTACATACATGGAACAAGCATTAAAAACTTCTAATTCAGCATGTTTCCCAAAAAACTGAATACCGCAGAAGGAACATTTATAATATCCATAGTTAACCTTTCCTCAAGGAAAGTGTACACCGAGGCCTTCCAATGCAACACAAACTAGATGGGATGAAGCAGTAGCTTTTTCTTGTTGAAGCAATATGCTGATCGTCAACTCATTTTTAACAGGGACCATACAGTCATACCTCGGAAGTCAAACACAATCCGTTCTGGAAGTCCGTTCAACTTCCAAAACGTTCAGAAACCAAGGCACGGCTTCCAATTGGCTGCAGGAAGTTCCTGCAGCCAATCAGAAGCTGCGGAAGCCCCGTCGGACATTCGGGTTCTAAAGAACGTTTGCAAACCGAAACACTCACTTCCGGGTTTGCGGTGTTCAGGAGCCAAAACGTTCAACTTGTAAGGCGTTCAAAAACCAATTTATGGCTGTATTTAGAATCAACCTACAACTAGAGGTCAGTAACGTGAGTTCCGTGCAATAAGTGTACCCACATGAGCTGACACACAAAGGGCTTCTTAACCTTGTCTTTAGTGTGAACAGCAACAGAGTCTTTGCCATTGTTCTTCCCTTATATACACCTGTTTTACGCTGTTAAAGTCGATGCACTTTATCCAGAAAAATAATGTCTGCCTTTATCGTTAATAAGCTGTCATATTCACTGTAACTGAACTTGGTTAAAACAAAAAGCCAAATTCAAATCTTGGAAGACTTTGGAGAGAGCGGCTGTAACTCAGTGGCAGAGCTCAGGCTTCACCTACTTTAGATCCCAGATTCAATCCCTGATGAGGATCCCCACGCAAGGATAGAAATAATATCCTGCTCTGAAATGCTGGAGAACCACTGACAGTCAGTGCAATGCTGAGTAAGATCAGCAAATGGTCTGGCTCTGTACAAGCAGCTTTCTGTGTTCCTAATAAGAGAAATAACACACATACAAAGTGCTCAGATAGCATATACTTACACACTTGGAACCCACAAGCGAACTGTTTTGTCTCTAGAACCTGAAGCAATCAGATGGCCGGATGGTGAAAAATGCACACTCAGGACTGCATCTTTGTGACCCACAAAGCGGTAGGCTCTCATTTGAGGTTTCATACTCCAGATCATCAGGCATGAATCCATAGAGCCACTTACTGACAAAAAGAATATACTACCTTTCAAAATTATACTCAAAGGAGAGATCATATACATACACACTTGGCAGGAATTTCAGTCACTAGTTTCAATTTCTCTCTTCCTTTCCTTGAATGAAAGTAGTGGTACCTTGTTTTGAGACTGGGATCTGTTCCGGAGCCCCGGAAGCTCAGCGAAAGGGACGCTCGACAAAGAGCCACTCTGCACACACACACGGAGCGGTTTGCGCTTCTGCACATGTGCGAGTTGCAAACCCAGAAGTAACCCGTTCCGGTACTTCTGGGTTTGCCGCAGACGTTCGCCGAAATGGACACTCAACGGGGCGGACATTCGCGGAGGTATTACTGTATTCACTAATCACAGAACTGAAAGCAAGCACACAAGCTTTCCAGTTCATCCCCGTAATTGCAGTCTCACCTTAAAAACAGGCAAGGAAGGAAACCAAAGAATTACAACCAACCATTTAGAGAATTTAGTACAAATGTATTTTATTATCAAATCATTTTAACTGCCTCCCTCCACCAAGCTATTTGTTTGCAAATTTTTATATACTATCCAACAAAAAAAGTTCAAGGGCAATTTCAACTAAAAAATAAGATTATAATACATAAATATGTGATTTTTAAAAAAATAATAATCAAAAACCGAATAACACTTAACAGATCTACATGGTTGAACCAGCCTTTCGTCTTATGACTCAGTTGCTCTGCTGTACAATCTCAGGTTTGTTGCTACTTTTCTTAATATCTGATAGCTAAAACCAAGGAAGGTACTTTAGCTAAGGCCCAATCCCACGCTGGATACTCTGTATGCTGTTAAGTCCAAACAATTTGGGAGAACCGCTAAAAGCAGACTGAATGCTATTTTGTTCTATGAAAAAAAAAAACTATACTAAAGAAAATTCTGCTTAGCTGACAACTTACCTAGCTGTTTATTATTTAGACTGAAATCCACACTCGTTACAGCATCACGGTGCCCTTTGAAATGCCTCTCCAATGTTGGATCTTCCTGCAGGAAGAAAGAAGTTGATATTGGACTAAATTTTTGTATGGCTACAGACAGTATTTCCGAAGCAAGAAGCATATCTGCCATAGCAGGCATCGTTTTTATTGTGATTTCTTACTGGTTTAACAGTTTCATTTTCTAATTTGCTCAATCTAGTTTCAGATTGATAGCATAGCCTTTTACCGTGACTCGCCTGCTTGGAACAGGCAACAAGGAGTTCCAAGCAGCTCAGGATGCATCCGAGCAGAGAAGGGACAGACCACTCAGTTCCTCGTCGGCCAGCCCACTGCATTTCCGCAGTGGCCATAGGGGAAGGCAAGTCCTGTCCTCCACAGCCAGTGTAGAAACCAAGTGGGCTGGAACTGGAAGGCAGACAAGGGTTGGCGAGATCCATCTGTTCTCCACTGGTTCACTTGGTAGAAGCCAAGTAAGATAATCCTTTAGGTCAGTGGTTCTCCAAGGGTGTGGCACACCACATTGGTGTGGCAGGAGAAGATGGCAAGTGTGGCAGAAAGATTCAATGATAATCAAAAAACAATTTAACATTTCAGTGTAGCATAGTATAGTATATTACCAAAATATTTCTTTTTTTAAATTTAAAAACATTTATTCAAATGTTACAACACATTTTCAATCAATTTATTTCTTTTATTTGCATAATATGGATAGATATCTTTTCAAAATGAGAGCAGGAGTGCCAAGTGATACTGAGGACAAAATCCTAGTTGTGATCCAGAATCGCTGTGCAAAACATCATACTTTCTGGATGTCCAATGGTCGTACTATAAAGTAATTGTGTTCTATGTTATAAATCAAGCACTGCTAGTTGTTGTTTCTTTTTGTTTTCCAATGCATTTCTTATCAGTAAAAAAGTTAACAACTACAAAACACACAAAGGCAAGGAGAGTAGAGGATAAGGAAGGAATTCATACGGATTTTTTTTTTATTTCACAAAAATGCTGGAGCCATGTTCTTAAATGTAAGCATTTAAATACTGTACCATTTTGCATACTCTGTGGGAAGTGCAATACCGGCAGAGACAAATGCCAAGCACCAAACTCACACATGTATATTCTGTACACTGAGCTTTGCAGTATACCTCTCTTCCTGGGATTCTTTTCTTCAGAATCCAGTTTAGGATACACAAGGCCATTTTAAGCTATAAAGCTCTGCCCAAGGATTATACTTTAATACTCTGATTAGATACTCTCAACATTCAACACACAAATACTTCTTTGGAAGGATCAGTGCAGGGCTGTATATAAACTATTATTCCAAAGAAGCAGAGTTCAGAATTCAGCTTCCTAATAAAGTCCGTACTCATTTAAAAAAAAAATTCTATCACTTGTGACTGTGAATATATTTGTCTGTGTGTTATCAATTCCTGCTAAAACTGCAAAAGCCAGGTTTCTTGCATTTGTTTAGCAGTTTCAAATTGCAAGTTGGTTTAACTTGAATACTCCAGCTCATCCTGTTACATAAACTGGATGTTCTTGTGTAAAATTTAATTTTACTAAACACCATACACATAAACCTGGGATAATTTTTGGGGAAGAAAGCTATCCAAAATGGATTTTAATATAAAAAAGGAAGATGAAATAGCCTTTAGCCTACAAAAGCCAACACCATCTATTGAGTTTGTTAGTCCTTAAGGTGCCCATGACAACAGTTTGATCCTGCTGAATCAGACCAAATGTCTGGATCAGACCAAACCTCTAGTCCAGTATCCTGTTCTCACACTGGCCAACCAGATGACTATGGGAAGCCCACAAACAGGACATGAGTGCAACTGCACCTCTTTGATCATGATCCCCAGCAGCTGGTATTCAAAGGCATACTGTACTGCCTCTGAAACAGACATCATGGCAAGTAGCCACTGAGATAGCCTTATCCTCCATAAATTTGTCTAATCCTCTTTTAAAGGCATCAAGTTGTGGCCATCACTAAATCTTGTGATAACTTTTTATAGAACAGTTCTAAGAATTACAGTTTATATAACGTGAACACTGATATACGGTGTACATGCAACATACATATTTTCAGCCACAGGTGTACACACCTGTCTCTATAAAATGTATTGTGTGTAGCAGCTATTACATCACAATCCTAAGTACATTTCCTTGGAAACTCTCCTAGAATCAATGGAGACTTAGGGAGCTTCCAGATCGTCACTATTTGGAGTGGGGCTCAAATCCAGCAACAGGCAAACTGAGGATCATTTGGAGCTCTCATGCAACAAATCCATTTTCTCCCCACAAATCAGACTTTTTTTGCTGTAAGGAAATTGACAGGAAAGTCACTGGAAAGTGTGGAAGTCATTTGCTTGATGCAGCGCTGTCTAACACCCACAAACACAAATCAGAACGAATGCTTGTTAAATAACCTTCCTGCAAACTTTGTGCAAACAGATCAGAATGAATACCTAGAAGCAACATTACTTCTAAGCAGTGGGTTTTTTTCCTAGAAAAATCAGTACCGGTACTCACCATGAAGTTGTTATAGTAAGTGCTACACTTTTCAACAACAAAAAAGAAGTGCCAGTACTGCATACCCCTGAATTCCCCCTGGAAAAAAAGCACTGCTTCTAAGTAGCAATAAGGGGATTGTGGTATTTGATCTAAAAACGTTTTTAGGTTTTTTGTTTTTTTACAGCACCACTAAAATGATATAAAAACAGCAATGCTCAAGAATGCCTATCTCTACACGTTGTTTTTCAGGTAGTTAGTTCCTGCAAGTCAGGCAAAACAATCCCGACAAAACCCACTCAGGGGAACAATGTGAAAAACAATACAACCTAAAATTGCAAAGAAGCAAAAATGGGCAGGGTTGGTCTTAGGAAGTAATCAGAATCATCCCAAATCTGACAAATTGTGACAACACATCCGGACCCATAGCCTTCCCCACCCCCGCCGGTGTCTTTATTCATTACAATGATGCCTGGCAGACATTCAGGTGATGCTTTTCCCAGCAGAGGGATTCTGCAAAGCCGAAATGGTCCCTGACTTACTCCCTTGTAGCTGTTATTTAACGGGGCGGGCAGAGACAGGTGGCAGGACTTCCTAGACCCAGAAGGGCAAACAGCTCTTCCTGCACCAAGCACAATCCAACCGACTTCAAGCCCAAAGTGCCATTTTTAAGCGTGTTACAGGCAGGAGCTTTTAACATTGCGCCGAAACAACGTACTTCGCTCTCAAACCCTATTTTCTCTCCCCCCCCCCATATATTTATGAGAAGTAAATGCTGGCTCCTCTCTTTGTGACTTCTTAGACAGCCCCAATAGAGCCATGGTTTCACAGGGGGGCAAATTGATTTTTAAGGGGGGCAATTCGAGAATGAGTTATGAAGAGTTAATGGCCTTTTAGGCTTCCTCCATGTGAATAGGAGTTCACTTTTTGAATACTGTAATAAGCATTATATGTCGGGGGGCGGCGCTTTAGGATTTTAGAAATGCTTAGGTGGGGCCTGGCCAAAAAAAGTTTGGGAAGAACTGCAATAGAGGAACGTGTGATGTTGGTCGCCCCCCCCCCACCCACCGACCCCTTTTTGTCTGCTATCAGGCAGCCGCGGCTCTGCAAACTTGTGCCGACAGAGCAGCCGCGGTCTCCATCGCCCGCCCTGCTCCGAGGGGCGTCCCTCTTCCTGCCGCCTCGAAGCCCCGCTTGCCAGGCTGCCCGACCCTCCTCGGCCCCGCTCCACCCCGGCCCCTTACCAAGCAGGCGAACGCCATGGCGCTGCGGGAGCCGGAGCGGAACCGACGGGCCGCCGCTGCTGTTCGCAGCCGGAGCGATTCAGTTTGCCCGCTCCTCGGGCCGCCTTAGTAACGGCGTCGTGCGCTTAAAGGGGAGGCGGGGCAGCGAGCGGGAAAATGTCCGCCGACTGGAAAGCGTCGTCCTTTGAATGGAGGGAGCGGCGCTTGGTTTTCAAATCGAAGGGGGCGGGGAGCTCATGCTGCACGAGAGACGCTCTCGGCGCCAGAATGTGGCATGCAGGGGTCTCCAATGGATGGATGGATGAATATAACTACTCAGGAATAAGCCTCGTTGAGTTCAGTGGTGCAAAAGTTAAGAGTGTCTTACTAGGACCTGGAAGATCAGGGTTCATAATCCCAACTCAGCCATGAAGCTCGCTAGGTGACCTTGGGCCAGGCACTCCCTCTCCCCTCACCTGCAGTGCCGGATTTACGTATAAGCTAAACAAGCTATAGTTTAGGGCCCCACTCTCTTGGGGCCCCAAAAAAAATTTAAAGGGGGAAAAAACCTGGATGTACATTTCCAAAATGTAAGATAAAAAACAAATAAAATAAAAACTACATACAGCAACAGTGGCAAATGGCTATTAAGTCCATAAATTGCCATATAGCATATATTCAACACAAAAGACAGTGACAATTTGTTGTTGACAAGGGACTGCTGGACATATAAAGGGCCCCATTACCTTCAGTAGCTTGGGGTCTTAGCAAACCTAAATCCGGCTCTGCTCACCTACCTCACAAGGTTGTTGTGAAGATAAAATGCAGAGGAGAAGTACTATGTGCTCCTCCTTGAGCTCCTTGAAGGATATAAATGCAATAAAGGAAGAAAACCTTACTCCGAGGAAAGTGTACAAGATTACAGCCTAAGACTGGGGGGGGGGGGGGAGTCAGGTTGGAAATGGCTAGATACTGAGGGCCCTACTATTTATTTAATCGGTCCAGTATACCTGATGGAGCGTCTCCACCCCCATTGTTCAGCCCAGACACTGAGGTCCAGCGCCGAGGGCCTTCTGGCGGTTCCCTCGCTGCGAGAAGCCAAGTTACAGGGAACCAGGCAGGGGGGCTTCTCAGTAGTGGCACCCGCCTTGTGGAACACCTCCCATCAGATGTCAAGGAAATAAACAACTACCTGACTTTTAGAAGACATCTGAAGGCAGTCCTGTTTAGGGAAGTTTTTGATGTTTGATGTTTTATCGCTTTTTTATTATTACTAATATTCTGCTGGCAGCCGCTCAGAGTGGCTGGGGAAACCCAGCCAGATGGGTGGGGTATAAATAAGTTGTTGTTGTTGTTGTTGTTATAATTCACTGAGCAGTTTACCACAAACATTGTCCAGCACTGCTGGGCTGATAGGAGCCGTGGTCCAGCAACATATGAATGTGATTTTTTTAATGGAAAAGTAAATCAGTCCTACTTACAGTGCATTTTGATGCAAAAGTAATCATCACTGATCTCATCTGTATTTTTTCCCAAGTAAGGGTGCCTAAAAGAACAGACCTATGCATGTTAGCTCAAGAAGTAATTCTCGCTGAGTGTAGTGAGATTTACTCCCAAGTAACTGTGACTTGGGAAAAGTGCAGAAAGTGCTTATTCAGGAGTATGCATCACTGAACAATATAGGAGCTCAGTTGCATTGAGTTGCCTTTTCCTTGGGGTCCCGGGTTCAATCCACAGCAAAGCCCCTGCCAGTCAGTGTGGACAATGCTGAGTTAGATGTACCAATGGTTTGATTTGATTTGATATAATGAAGCTTACTACATTCCTATGAGCTAGTCTTAACTGTGAAGAAAACTTTCTTCTCTATAAATTACATTAACTCAGGGGCACCCAAACTTTTTTCAAAGAGGGCCAGATTTGATGAAGTGAATATGCATGAGGGCTTACCAAAGTTCTTGAGCTTTTTTTAAGATTGGAGTTGCTGAGCTTTTTTTAGGATTTTACCCCAGGACATATACTGCTACAGGAACCGGATTAGACCCCAAAACGGACATGCCTGCATTAACTGATCAACCCTCATTTTGGAAAATGCACGTTAACAAGTTCCTCCAATGGTGGAAATTGTTCCATATTGGAGCCACCAGATGGCGACTAAAATCTAGGTGTTAGAAAAGTGCAACGTAAAATGGTCTATTGAATGCAATGTCGAATCTGAAATATTTGAGGGCTCAGCCACACTTCTGCTTTCCCCGCTTTCCCCTGGGAAAACCTGCTGTTTGCCGCTGAATTGTAACAAACAGTTTTTCTGAGTATTGGCTTTGTATCGCCTTTGAGTTCTTTGCTAGTCCTGTAAGAAGGGTAGAGAAAATTCCTGCAGTGCAGGTAAGGCTGGTATTTCACCACAGAGAGATGAATGATAAGTGTGCATGTTTTACATCTCTAAAATCCTAGGCTGAATCCCTGACATTGCCAGTTTCTCTCTGTGTGTGTTTTAAGATCTCAAGTAGCAGTGCTGGGATGGGCCTTTGCTCTTTATTATTTGCATTTCCTGGTCTCTCTCTCTCTCAAAAAAAAGTTTCACTAATGGGTAGGCGATCCTGGGCTAAAAGCAACTGCTCTTCATGCAGACGGACCCACATTTTATTCCCTGGCATGTCCAAACAGGGCTGGGAGAGATCCTTGCTTGAAATCCTGGGGACCCATTGCCAATCAGCAAAGGTGGATCAGTGCTTTGGCTCAGTATAAGACTGTGTCCTATATTCCTATGTCTGTCTCAAATTCCAGTTATCTGGGTTAATTTAATGAAATACTGACTCAGCCACTAAGTACTGTAGAAGAAAATAAAATGCCTATCAGTGTCCTCTCCCCTTCCTCCATCTCTGGACACAACAGATGCGGGGGTGGGGGTGGGAGAAGCAGAGAGAACTGTTTTCACTATAATGGACTCTTTCCTGTCATAGAAATTCAGAGAGCAAATCAGTCTGATGACCTTTTATGTAAGAAGAGATGGTATCTCTAATTCGGAGAACAGCGAGAGGGAAAGTAGGTATGGCTGAGGCAGCTTTTGTGTGGTTGTGTGGCAAATGCAGTGTGTGTGTGTGTGTGAGAGAGAGAGAGAGAGAGAGAGAGAGAGAGAGAGAGAGAGGGACTGGAAGGTGGATGTTTTGGATCTTCTTAAATTGTCTGAAAATGAGTCTGACTCTGTTCCACAATTGTAGCTCTTTAAAAATATGCATCTCTTAATCCAGAATCCTCTCTTGTAAGAGTGGATCGTTACTGATGAATGTGTCTGTATTCTAATGGTGTGAGGATGTTTCCCTTCCAAGCAAGCCGGCTTTCAAAACCTTTAGATGAAACCCCTTCTCGCAGAAGATACACACAAGATCTACAGGAAATGGAAAGAGGGACTTGCCTCTTCATGGCAAGAGGAACCAATGCTGGCACAGGTGACAACGTACCTAAGGAAGAGCAGAAGACCAGCTGAGCAACTGGGCTTGGAGGACATTTTGCCCAACCATCACTTGGAAAGCTCAGGAGGAGTCAAGGTTTTTGAAAGAGGCAGGGATGACTGAGCAAAAACCCGAGAACAAGTGTTCTGAAACTTCTGACGCAGGAGATACTTAGCCTTTTAATAAACATTCCTTTAAAGAGGAGGGGGGAAATCATGACATTCATTTTGTGCAAAGTTCTGGCCTTGATGTGTACTCATTCTGTTGCTGGACCACCACACACACTCCTTTGGGCTGGCGTTTGCATGCGAAGGTCAATAAAGTTCACAACCTGTGCTGCACTCAGGGACACATTGACACAAATAGGCCGGATGCCAAGATTAGTATCAGGTGAACGCCACTGGAGTTCATGGAAGTTCACTTCCTCCCTGCTCCCTCTGATTACCTTCAAGGTCTAATTGCTGAGTCATCCTGAACACCCAAAGGACTGGGAGAATTATAGGTAACAGGCACCCCCTTTGCAGCCCATCTGTCGGTAGAGCAAACCCATCACAAGTCAAAGTAGCAATTTCACAACTTTGTCTTCAAAATATAACCCTGTGTATGTACCGTATTTTTCGCCCTATAGGACGCACCGTCCCATAAGGCGCACCTAGTTTTTTGAGGGGGGGAAATTATTTTTTCCCCAGGCACGGGGCTGGGGCGGGGGAAGCCTGAGCTTCCCCCGACCCTAGCCCCCAGAACAGGCAACTCTCTGCAAGCCGTGGGAGCCCACCACAGGGCTCCCGCGCCTTGCGGAGAGCTGCGCGAAGTCTGGGCGCGCTGAGCTCAGTGCGCCCAGCCTTCGGCATGCAGGCAACTCTCCGCAAGCCGTGGGAGCCCGGTGCGGGCTCCCACAGCTTGCAGAGATCTGCGCGAAGCCTGGAGAGCGAGAGGGGTCGGTGTGCACCGACCCCTCTCGCTCTCCAGGCTTCAGCGAAAGCCTGCATTCGCCCCATAGGACACACACACATTTCCCCTTCATTTTTGGAGGGGGAAAAGTGCGTCCTATGGGGCGAAAAATACGGTATTACCTATACCTGGAGAATGTTTCATATGGAGGTGGTGTGTAGAAACCTCTGGACGAGATTCAGCTAAGTTGTGTGCACAGAACAAGGTTTGCTCACACAGTGGGACCCCCTCCCCAATTCTCCTCCCTCTGGTCCCCCTAAAAGTGCTCTGGATGGGGGTGGAACCCAAAACAGTTTCAGGGAGGTGGGTAGAAGAGAGGTGGGAATCTTCTCCTTGCGCAAGCGGACTTCATTCTGTGTACTCATGTTTCCTACCCCATTTGAATGCTGATTTATTTTGTTATTCCTGGAATGGAAAGAGCTGGCCAAGCTGGCCAAGCTTTACCACATTTATGAGAACCAGGCCTAACTTTGGCCTATCCTAACTCAAAAGGTGGTTTTGGTGATACTAAGGCTGACAAACCCGTAGCTATTTAGAGCTCCCTGGAGGAAGGGTGAGATGTAAACGAAATAAATAAGAAGAGAAACAGAACACACACACACACACACACTGTTTATTTCTGCTTTATGCCTTGCCAAGAACCCTGTTGGCAAAGGATGAGTAACACTGATGTACTGTAGCATTGAACGGAATCCAGAACTCTTATCTTTTATCACCAGCCCTTTTTCTGCCCCGCTCTTCTCATTCTGCAGATTTTTCAATCTGAAAGGTTGGCTTCATGACACAGAGCCAGCTGGTTCATACAAGTTCAATGAGAGATTGCCT